TCCAAGTTAGCGCTTAATTTCCGAGGAAGTAAAAAATCATCAATTTCACAACTGGATTATGCACGAGAAAACACAGGGAACGCTGGGGGCCTTACTCATGAACCGAATACCTCAGAGAATACCGGCGAAGCACGTGCTTAGGCTTTAGACTAGTACCTGTTTTGGCCATACGTCTTTCGACTGATCAGTCACAGGCTGATGTCCGTTATCATCCTCCAACTACCTGACAGACCGTCTCTGGGTAATTTTTCTTCGATCGTAGCGAGTAATGCTGTTGAATCCTAAGACTGAAATTCTTTTTGTCTCTGTTACGCCATATAGGTAGTTTACTCTGAACGGGAGCCTTCTCAACTGTGAGCCGGGTCGCAGGTTTCGCTCTTTACTTACGTCTCCACAAACCTCCGTCCCTATCCCTTTTCCTTCCCCGCTTCCTTCCCTCGTACTTGTTGACTTTCCTTTCCCTGTCATTGTTCACCTCCCTTTACCACGACGGTCGGAAGAGGTTTTGTTAGATTGTGTCTGGGAAATAAATTTAAGCAAGTCGAGGATGTTTTTTATTTTGAGATGTTGCTTGGACACCAGGACGTCTGGCGGTTTTACAGTTGTGCGGCCTCATACGTAAGGTTATTTGGGTTAAATTCAGTCTCACACCGAAAAAGGTCAATGATAGTGTTGAGTTTAAAAGTAATGCGACCATTGGGGAAGTGTAAATCTAATTTTATTTCCAGAATTAGAACATTAGTGTTCTGATTTGGCAAAAGAGCATTTGAGGCCCTTGGGAGAGACCCTTAAATGATTTCGAAAAGGAGATGGAAAAACGAATTTGGCATATGGATAGGCAACTGTTTTTGGGATATCACGAGGCTAGTCCGTTCAATCCGTCCATAGAATCCTAAATACCCTGATAATAGATAATAAAAAGAGGTTTAAGTGGTATTCCCTGCCTTAATATGTTCTTTTGGGACAAAAAGACACAAATAGTGCATAGGACATTAAAAAGGAAGAGGCGTTAAATGTGTTTCCAAGACATGAACCGAGTGAGAATAGTCGTTTTGCCATTAGATTGGTTGATCGAGAAATAGCAATAAGACTAGTAAGGGCTGATATAGCAAATTTGGCTATGATCCCATTGCTTCGTTCAGTCCTTCCTATTTTCTGTGACATACTTCCAAGTTCAATGATAAGATATTATATTGCGTAGGCTTAGAGACACCGTGAATGAATTCTCGTGTCGATAGTTTAAACAAATACTGCTTGAGCCTCAGATGCTGATCATAAAGTTCCTAAACCTAAGTCCGATAACGTCATTTCAGTTAGCTTGTGAGTCTTTGCTAGATTCATCCGGATTTTCATATCTCAGGGAAGTCCCACCTGTGGGTTTCTCCTGCGATTTGATCAAACCTGTTTGTTTTACAAGAGCATAAATCCTCCTAGCTATATATATTACACTAAAATTTAGAGTACCTCCGAAGCTCAGACGCCACAAGTGCTTCGAAAGGAGGATGCAATAGCTAAACGAAGAAGCACTTTTTCTCGTTTGTATTACTCATCAATTGTGCGGTCAGCTGAGCTAGGACTTCCATACCGGTATGCTGAAACTCCGGAAAAATTTGCATATCGATTGCTCGCTCGCAAAAGTGTTCATATGCATATAAGGCGTACAAAATGGCCACGGGTGGATAACCTCGCGGCTAAAGCACACACGGATGGTCCGGCGAATTGATGCATAACCACATGCAGGTTCATTAGCATTCGGATAAATTGTGCTGTAAATCCCTCCAGAAAGAACTTATAACCATTAATGGCTCTCATTTGTGTCCGTTAGCATCACGATGAATGTCAGTAACCCGCATTACTGTGCTACTCAGCCAAAGAAAATAAGTAGTTTTATTGTAAACCAATTTAACGGATTTTGCAAACAAGTTGTCGGGAGATATCTTATTCAACAATCCAACGATTATGATATATGTACATTATTTTAAAAAGATTTAACCCGTCTTACTGACCGAGAACATAGAAAAATAAAAAATTGTGTTGCCTAAAAAGGGATCTGCGGCACACTTTAAAGACTGGTCAGATCTATTTTCTTTGGGTTTCCGAAATGAACGGGATATGTAACTGTCACCAAAAGGGCATTTGAAAATAGAATTTTTCGTGTTAGATGTTAACTTTTACTTTATAGGCGAAAATAATTGGGTCGTCAGAAACGGTCGGGGAAATGTGGTGCCGTTTTTGAGTATTTTTAATCAAAGCAAAGCCTTCGAATTCTTTGGGAATTCTTGACTCCTAGTTCGACTCCTGCGTGTATTTTAAGATAAAATATCTAAAAGAAAAAAATACTTTATTATGCGTATTTATAGAGGAAGTTTAAGCCCTCTATCAGGAAATCCTCAACGTAGATCAGAAATACTACTGAGGCTTACGTGGGCAGAATTTAATCATACGGTATCGCGAATGCCTCGCGCAAGGGTTGCTCTGTCGGAGGCTCTTGGGCACTGTTAATTGCACACAATTCATCACATTCACTAACCAACACCTCCATAGTTTCACTCCGGTCGCGGCACTGCCTACGTTTTTTTCATTTTTACTATTAAAATTTACAGTGCAGTTGGTTTGTCTACGAGGGTTTTTGCAATAACGATATTCTCTTGTCTGAGAAGAAGATTCGATCGCTGGAGCAAGACTTTTAATCACCTGATGTTTCAAATTCCGTCGCAGACTCTTCCTCATCGACAATTCACTTGCCTGATTATAAACAAACCCTTAAATCCCACTAGGTATCTTTCTGCAGGTCTCGTTTTACTATTTTCAGTTGCCTGAAGGCAATTTCGAACGATAAATGTGCACAGCTGCTCTGTATGGTATGCGAGGGTTACCAGGGATACCACAGTCCTCTCAACTCGGCCCAATGAATTATTAAAATCTGTCGATCCCCTCCCTCTCTTTCTAATTAAGTGTGCCTGGTAGTAATCTGGTGGATTCTAGATTGATTGCAGTAGGTTGGGCCGGTAAAGTGACCCAAGTGTGATTAAACATACGGCTCCCGGTGGGGCCTCGTAGATCAGTTGGCTAGAGCGTTCACTTTCCCTTGTTGGTGTGGGTTCAAATCCCACCGAGGCTGTTGAGTTTTGCCCAATTAAGTCCAATTAAGTACTTAAATCTACTACCCCCACACTCTTACTAGTTCTCTCAACACTTTGGACCGTGTTCCATCCTGATAGTCTATTTAATCAACTCACCTCTCGCATTTCTCCTAGGTTCACGCCATGAAGCGAAGCAGTCGTTGGGCTGGCCAGACAAGGAGGATAGCAGTGGGCTGGATGAGGCCATCGCGGACTGGAATGCGCTTGAGAAAATCAAACTCTCAGCCCTTTCTGTCAACCCGGACGTTCAACTGACTTACATCGAATCCGTACGGCCAAGTCTGCTGGTGGACACGCGGTCAGCTCATCCTCAGCCGTATGCTAAATTGCGGGATCCTAATATTTAACCTAGTCTAACCAACTTTCCAGCGGCCTAAAATTACATTAAATTTAGCTGCAGAGAGTGCTTTGAAAGACGGCTAAGATATAGGGGTCAGTTTGAGACACACCCTTGGCCCTCTAATTACACACAATGGGCTTTATCGTAGATGAAAAATTGTTTTTAGAGATGGGTATTTAATGCGTCTAGGTGATTTTGAGAAAGATAGTTGTAAACTCTTCGAGTTTCCTATGGTGCATCCAGAATTTTCAGGAACTCACAAATAGCTGTCAAACGGTGTGAGGTATATTCGCAGACATGGCAAACACGTAGCACCTTTTACTGAGCCACTTCTAGAGAGAAG